TACGCGTGCTGCACTTCCGGCCAATCTTATAATTTAACTTGGTCATACTGGCAGTATTTTTCCAAGCGTGCAAATTTTGAAATTATTCTTCGCAAATTTTATTATCATCCTGTTTACTTACATAAATTCAAGTTTTAAGATAGCATTAACTTACCTTGTGAGAAATTGCTAACAACAAACTGAACATACAAAATGTTAGTTCATAAATCTCATAGTAGATTGTCATTTGTGTTCTGCACCATGTAATATGTGAGAGAATAATATTAGGAAAGCGATGTAGCACCTGGGTAACAGTAGCTCTGATGGATATTGAATTTATCTGGCTCAAAATAGATGTGTAGCTTATATTGTCATCGTAGTAAACCCCCAGGGATGAGCAAATGTGCTTAACTTCAGCCAGATGTAGTCGATCAGTGTTAGGAATTCTATTTGAAAGCGCTGGATGCTATGTTAGTTGCATATCCGATTAAAATATTTTATATGGCACAGGCGTTGGGCAGAACACGTTCGTTCTGTGGAATGTACATTTTTTTTGATTTCCCGTACAACTGACTGGCATATTGACTTTGCATTTGGTGGTCGTTTTCCCCTCTGATGTCGTGTATTGCAAAAGTTACACGATATTTGTTTGTTCACCAAATGGCAACCAGAAACCGAGTTTCAAATTTATATACTATTGAAGTTCACCAATACAGATCGTAAATTAATAACACGCTATATTAATTCCACCAGTTACTCCGCAGATGTATGGATATTCTGAAATCAATATCAGTGAAACGTCATAAATACGAGGCGCGTCCTCAAAGTAAGTTTCCCTGGGGCCGTTTACAGAAACAAAACACAATTTCATGGAAATATTTATTGCAACAGATACAGCAAGTGTCCAGCTATTTTTCAACATATTCGCCACCGGAATTGAGACATTGGTCATACCGTGGGACCAACTTTTGAATACCTGGGTCGTAGAAGTCTGCCGCCTGGGATTGGAACCACGGTGTGACACCCATCTCCGCCTCTCTGTCATTCTCAAAACGCTGACGCTGACCGGACAGGAATTTCTTGAGGGGTAGGAAAAGATGGAAATCACTGGGAGCGAGGTCCGGGCTGGAGGGTGGATGATTAAACACCTCCCAGCTGAACTCCGGCAGGAGACTTGCTGTCCGTCGAGCCGGGTGCGGCCTAGCGTTATCACTGACCGCACTTCACAGTCGGCGGGAGCTGGAATAAGAACCTCCATCTTCAACAGCTGCAACGATGCTACTGTGAGAACGCGGGAGGTGCCGTTAGTGCATGCGCCATGCTACGTCATTGCTCTATCACGTACGCACAGTCGCTTCGCGCAATATAAGGTTTGCTAGCTGTGGGACGAGTGGGAAACTTACTTTGAGGACGCGCCTCGTAATAATTTTGAACAGTAGAAATACGTATAATGATGTAAATGTGATATTAATCCATTTTTACTCAGGCACAGTAGTAAGATTCTGTCATATTCAAACATCTGAAAGCGTTAATCAGTTTATGTGAGACATGGATGAAACTTTTTGTTTTAAAGTTAAACATAAAGTTTTAATAAAGTAAGCATGGAATGTTTGTGTTATACTATGTATCTGACGAAGATTAATTTGGAGGAGAAACGGAGAGATGGATGATCGATGGATGTATCAATAACTCCGCCCAGTCATCTACTGCCTAAAATTCAGTAGAATGTTAGGAAAGAACAGATGAGTACGTCTCTTATACACTTTCTTGCAAGGATGACCAAACAGCGTTAATCAGCGTAACAGACTGCAAAATATGCTTTAATCTCGATTCCTGAAAAAAAAACTTATAGTCTGTCCACCCGCATTGCTTTCACACGACGTTGCGACTTTTATGGACACCTTGCGTTCTGCATATTATATTCCATTTTATAATTTCTGGGAATTGACAGCTACCGAATGACATATACTAAATATACATCATACAATAGGCAGTGTGAAGCGTAATATTAATATAATTACGTATATAATGTCGTGAACAATTTATTCAGATTAGTTTTACGAATATTTACATATTTTAAAAATGAAACATTTAAATTGTACTTGTCATTAAATACGATGTTTCTGATAAAAATGTGTATGAAAAATTTTCCTCTCATGATTTTCTTTATATACGCGTATATCGGAAGTTATCAAACAATTTCGGTGTTTTTGCAGTATCGCTATGCCAGTATTTTTCATTGTTAAGTTTTTCATACAGACATGTCAATAACGTGTTAGTGACAATCTCAATTGAATTTTTACAGTTACTCTCCGCAATTTTAATGTCCATTCACCATGTTTTATTCTTACAGTAACATTAAAATTATTTAATTTTGCCTCCAAATCTCAAGTCTTTGTCTCCATACAACAATAACTGAGAAATTTTGCAGAAATTCCCAATGGTTCTTGTATTGGTACTGTTGAGTTAAGGGAAAGTACGAGAATAGGGTTGACTTCTGTGGCATAATCTTAGTGAGTAGATCTGTGAAAATTATATAATTAGATCAAAATTATAGGAAGATGCTGTTGAATGGGGCGGACGGATGAATGAACAGGCGATCTTGCTGGTTGACCACTGAAAGCTTTCTTAGTCTCGTAGAAAAATGAATTCAGGATAAAGATTAAGTGACAGACGGGGATTTTTGTGTTCCGTCTACACCTGAGATTTTCCGATTCGCGTGTAGTTTTGCTATTTTTTGTTAATACTTTATTAGGTTTGTTGTGTGACGTATTGCTAAGCATCAGGTGAACAGTCCTGAATTTTTAGCTTGTATGTTACTGAAAATCCATCCATCAGGCGTACATGGACAACGCAGCACATGGGACTGTGAGAACATCCGGTTCTAAACCGTTGATGCTGAAGCAATTGTAATCCATCAGGCTGTCAGGAGCGTACTCTGCCGAAACAAATGACACTCTGAGAACTCATCTATTCCAAATAAAGTGTTTACTTTTTCCGGAATCACCTGTCGTTTCTGTTTCTGTAGACAAATAGAAGAGGTCGGTCTTTAAAAATGACTGCAATTTGTTACAAAAAACATTACGATGTTCATAGAGTAAGCTTGCACCTCCAATTTATAGAACGTATTAAGTTTTCCAAATGGTATATCTTGTTTAAAAATAATAATCGATTATGAGCTGTACACCGTCAGAAGTACACAAACATGGCCGGCGCTGTTGGCTGAAATTTTCGAGAGTTTCTACAAATCCCTGTAGGAATTTGCAGACGTAGAATCTACAGACAGACGTAAATCGTTTCGATGCGCACCATTCAGAAAATAATCCTACAGTTCATCCTCTTTCAGAGCTAAATGATGTGTACAGTCAGTACAACATCGTTAAATGAAACAAGAAGGAGTTAATGAAGAAGTTCTCTTGAAATTTCTCCAAAGTGAATGACAGTCAAAGTTCACACATATTTTGGAAAGGAACATTGGGACACGGATATAAGAGATATGCTCCCTGTTTCGGATTGGAAGGACTTAAGTTGTATTGACTGTTTCTATAAGGGGTGTACACGGTGGCAAAGAAATGCAGTTACATAGTGAAAACTAAAATTATCCCATTCCCACCAATTTGTCTTTTGTCTCTTTCCTCATGTTCAGTATTCCATACCAGTCTTTAAACATTACAGCGATTACATATTACCCTTCCTCCTAACTAACTATACACTTTTCCTATTAGTAAGTAAAATAGTTTAGTGGGATTGTCCGTTTGTTTGTTTGTATGTTTATTCAGTGACTGACTTCTTATCACATCGTTGTATCGTATATGATAATTATGAATAACGGATTTGGATGTATCTGTAAGGAAGCTGTAATGACCTACTTCAGGTAAAAATCCATTACTTTCCTTAAGGGACAGAGGAACGTTACGAAAAACCGATATTCCGCGCAAGGTTTGGATCCGGTACTTGTCGAATACGAATTTCTGTTCACTGCGTCATGGAATGTCTGTAGTAACGTATACGAGGTGCGATCGGAAAGTTTACAGACTGTGTCAATAGAGGGCGAACCGGATGTAATACGAGCTTCTGCCGTTAGAAGGTGCGGCCTACAATCATAGTGAATCAGTGTGCCAGCCGGCATCATCGAATTAGCATTTGTTTCTTAGTTACGGGCGTTTTGGTAGTGCATTACAGCGACTCTCCTGCGATTTCGGAATGGCGTGTGCATCAAATTTTGCCAAAGACTCCCCAAAACGGCTACGGAAACCTATGAAATGCTAAAGCAAGCATTTGGGGAGTCCGCAATGGGTCGTGCACAAACTTTTGTGTGGCATTCACGTTTTAAAAATGGCCGAACCTCTGTCGATGATGACGAGCGTTCTGGACGACCATCTCCGAGCACAACGCCCGAAAATGTTACGAAGAT